AAACCCTAAGCCCCTCAACCCCCTAAACCCTAAAGCCCTAATCCCCCATATCTTCAACCTTACCCCAAAAACCCTAAGCCCCTCAACCCCCTAAGCCCTAAACCCTAAAGCCCTAATTAATCCCTCATGTCTTAAACCTTACCCCCAAACCCTAAGCCCCTCAACCCCTAAACCCTAATCCCCTAATCATCTCAAACCTTACCCCAAAAACCCTAAGCCCCTCAACTGATTCCTAGGCCCTAAACCCTAAAGCCCAAAACCCCCATATCTTCAACTTTACCCCCAAAACCCTAAGCCCTTCAACTGACTCCTAAACGCTAAACCCTAAACCGTTGACGCCAGGTTGCCCCCGGCATGGAGGAGCTGTTGCTTTGGGAGCGAGGCTTGGCGCCCGTCTTCTCCGAGTCCCAGAAAGACCTGGCATCTTGGGCCTTTTTTCTGTAGGGGCCTTAAAGAATGACCTATACTATTGTGGGTATAGGGTTTAGGGTGTAGGGTTTAGGGTTTAGGGGCTATGATAATTATAGTAGAAGATACTCCCAAAGCCCTATTCTAATCATTCAGGCCCCTATATTACTTAAAATTTTACAGTCAGAGCCCTACGGCCCTATAAGCTAACCCTAAAAACGACTTAGTTACAACGGAGACTATAAATAAGAATGGGCTTGGGGGGTTTAGGGTTTCGGCTTGTCAGGATAAAGCAAGAGTTTGGGTGTTTTTAGGGTTTGTGGGCAGTAGTGTGTTGGTTTTTTGGGTTGGGCTAAGGGTTTCGCGCTAGCCGCCAGGCTTCAGAGGGGATTTTAGACCAGCTTGGGTTTTCGCGGCATGACCAGGCGACAACAGTTTCAGGTGTCAGCTGTTCAGACTAGTCTATTTGAGGCTTTGTCTAGAAAGTCGGGCATTGCTGCTGTAGTTTAGCCCCGTGCGGACAACAGGAAAAGGTCGGTTGGCTTAAAGGCTTGATTCACTGAGTCACCCTTGGGTTGACTAACATTTTGGTAACTTGCTCTGATGTCTAAGCCCAGGCTCGGTTAAATATGCCCAATACCGAACTCACAGAGGTGCTGGAGCGGATCTTTGGCATGATCGGCACTTCTACCCGTCCCTTGCCTGGACTCTGTGACGGCTACGGAACTAAATTTGTGCAGAGATGCTTTTTGGTTGCAATCGGAACGCACGTGAGGCTTCTACGTAGAAGTCGGGACGCAATCTGGGGAGCAGTGCAACACGCGATATCTGAGAGTGCGGTACGGCTTTCACGGCCTCATGCTGGATGACAACTTCCGGAACAAGCACGTAAACTTGAAGCGGCAGTTCATCACCCCGTCGAATGTGGTGCAGATTTTTCAGGAGAACAATGTACCTCATCACTTTGATCTCCTCTCCCTGGACACCGACGGCTACGAGTGGCTGCTATGGCTCAAACTGAATGAAGCTGGGTATGCCCCGCGGGTCGTGGTGCTGGAGTATGGTGAGAACTTACCGTACTTTTGTCATAGTTGGGTAACATTTTACATTTTTAAGGGTACTTAAACCCAATAAGGAATATACATTTAGATTTTTAATACTACCCCAACCATGAACAAGGTACACTGAAGATGTTATCATCCGGCACACGACCTTCCCGGTCCACCGGCTTTGCCTTTCGCAGCTGCAGCGCTTTCCGAAGGTGTCTGGTGCCAGCATCACGAGTCTGCTCAAATTGGGGCGAGCTTGGGGCTGCTGAGCCAGCAGCATGTGTGGGATTTTGCCGTTGGGCGAGTATGAGTGTGTGTGTGTGTGTGTGTGTGTGTGTTTGCTCTATGTCTCTGTCTGTGTCTGTTTGTGCATGTGTGTGTGTGTGTTTGTTTGTTTGTGTGTCTGTGTCTGCATTCGTGTCTGTCTGTGTTTTTGTGTGAGAATGTGTTTGAGTGGGTGTGTGTTTTCGTTCTAATGTGATGATTCCTGTGCCTCGCGGTTTTCTCAGCAGCAGGCCGAAATTTATGCTTGAATTCTTAATCTCACTTGTCGCGCATGTTGCCACTCACGGTTTTGGCGGCTTGCCTCTCCTACCCTTGAAGATCAAGATAGTTTCGCAGCGCACTCATACCAATTCAGGCTACCACCTGGTCCACCTGGTGGCCTGTGGCACCAGCGACCTCATCTTCATCCGTGACGATGCCATGGGCGATTCTTGGACTTTCAAGTCCAACATCCGGATACTCGGAAACCCTGGACTCAATAGCTATAAGTAAACCAGTGACTGCTTAAGCCCCTAACAGTCATACACCCTGATCCTGCGCGGCATGATCACGATTGCCGCTGTGGACGTTCCATCTATTCATCCTAGCTGTAAATCCGGCTCAGAATTTTGTTAACATCGTGACTGTTTTTTCGCCGCCGCTCTCCGTCGTGAGCTCAAAGTGCACAGGGTTTACAAAACGAACGTGCACAAACAAATGCAGACGAGTTGCAACGCTAAAGGGCCCAACTGTCCTCGGCCAGGTGTTGTCTCGAGTTTCTGCCCTGAAGCCTCAGAATAGAAAGCTCCCAAAGTCAGGGGTTTCGAGGTTTGGGTCTCAGGGTCTATGTCTCGCAGGGTCGCGCCTTTCCCGCGCAGAACGATGCAGTGGCCTTGTGCCGCCTGAGCGCGTACCAATGTGAGGCAGCATCACTGCAGCCAGCAAGAAGTTTAGTTATTGCCTAGGACCACGGTTGGGGTTCGCAGGACGTTGGGCTAAAGGGTTGAGGTTAATGTAGGGTTTATGTAGAGGTTTCAAGAGTTGGAGTTTGGTATTTTTGCGAGTGTTGTTGTCTAAGTAGTAGCAGGAGAGCGCAGGCATCACCAACACGAGAGTCCTACATGGCACCAGAATGGGATGCATGGGTGAACGTTCTTTCCTAGCAATCTTCCACGATCTCCATCTCCATGCCCAGCACAGTAGCTGAAAGGCTGATAGTAGGCTGTGGTATGCTTATTGGTATTTATTTCGATCACTTTCGCACTATCGTGCTTATTACTGCAGTTCTGCCTTTGCACTAGTTCTGCTGTTCATATCTTAGAGTATGTCGTTGGTCTCTTGAAGCCCTATATCTTAAAGTACGGGATTATTGCCACTGTTCCTGTTGGATTTAGGGCAAACAGTCCAGGCTTGCCCCACGTGTTGGGGAAGGTTTCAACACAATTGAATGTTTAGGGTTTAGGTACGAGGTCAAGGAACAAACTGTAGTGATCTAGGTGTCATAATTCAAAGGGCAGGTGCGTAATGTCACAGTCGCCTGCCCTCCTTCGTTTGCCGCCAGGCGAGTGAGATTTGGTGTGCAACGCAATGGCCGGGAGCTGCACCTCCGAGCGAGGACAAGCATGTTTCTCCACAGCGTGCGATCGACGGGATTTCCGAAAATGCAGCACAATGCCTGTGCTGGAGGGAACGACAACATTCACACGGTTTAGTTCTGCCTGCTTCAAGTCTGAAAGGTTGACACTGCTGTTCCTCCTAGGCCCGGCTGGGTCAGAGCCTGTCCGAGCTGAGTCGAGCCATAAGAAGCACACACATAGAAAGGCATTGGTGTGTATGTGTGTATATACTAATATACACACAGATACGTACGAATTTATTTATTTGTTTATTTCCGTATGACCTATTATAGTTATGCATGCATAGATGCATCAACGCATAGATCCCGGAAGGATACTTGATTGGACTGCGAGTGTGTCTGAGCCCGAGCATATTGGACTCTAGCAGCAGCGCGCTTGCCTGTCTTGTTTGCAAGTTTGCCAGGCTGAGTTTTCCACCGCAGTCGTAATTAACAGTTCAACCACTGGCTGGTGCGACAAGCTACAGAAAAAAGCAACCAACCTTTGGTGTGGAAAGCTGCAGGACCTGCGAACCACCGCAGAGCTTGCACTGGCCGGCAACTACAAGCTTCAACGTTCCTGGCCGATGGAGAGGCAGAGCCAGCAAGTTGGGGTCCTTGCGTTTCAGAGGGCTCGGACTGGGGTGCGAGTCCTTGGCTATAGGGCTCGGGGTTTAGGGTTTATTGCCTTAAGTAGGGGCTTATTAGGGTTTGGGGACTACAAGTACTATGTCCTTGTCTTGCCCTTTGCCTGGCCTTGGAACGTTGGTGAGGTGTTCTAGGTAAAAGATGCAAGCGGGATTGCAGACTCTTCTGCGAACCAGTCCTACCACGAGCCGTCGCTTGCAACGGACTTTCGGCCCGCATTCCTTGGGCGCAGTATCTACTTCAAGTCAGCTAAGCATCATGTATGGACCTGTGCGGGCAGCACGTCGTTGACATGGTAATAGCTCGGAAGTGATATTCCTGCCCGCATGTCTGGCAGGTTGCGAGAGGAGCTGTGCTAGCTGCTGACTTGCCCTGGGCCGCCGGAGCCACCCAAATGACCACGGGGAGCATTGCGAGGCATTCGCCCGCCTGCTGTTCCTGGCACCTTGCTGGCCGAGCTCGTGACATGAAGATGCCCAAAGCTGCTGAGCATCTCGGAGTTGGTCCCGGCACGGTGACGAGAGCGAGAACTGAGCACCGGCACTTGCCGTGAGCGCAAAAAGGTGGGTCACACTCTCCAGACTCCGGCGACCGCGACAAAAGACACAGCATAAGCCATCGTGGTACCTCTTTTTTTTTTCAGTAGATTGGATCCACGAAGGGAGTTTCTAAAGCTCCGGGATCCCTTTTGACTTGCAACCGGCTGCATGCTCTTATTGGGGACCTCGATTCGGTTAGGAAAAACTGGGTGCATGTAGCGAAAGCCATCTCTGTGCGAACACCATGAACGAGCAGCGCATATACACACGTTCTAGAGGTGGCCAGTTTTCTTTACACATTCAGTGAGAAAGAGACGGACAAAGAGGGAGAAGAAGGATAAACTGAGTTCAGATGATTTCTGCGCATGCCATGAGCATCCGATCCTTCCTGTAACTGTTCAGGAACTCGAGTGCAGATGTTCTGCCTGAAGTACCATCAAAGACCCGTCCTAGAGAACGCTCTTCCCTAAGCCTGCCAAACCCGTTTAGGGTTTAGGGTACCCTAAACCCTAAACCCCGGTGTGAGCATAGACCTCAGCCATGCGAGAGAAGAAACACCTCGGTAGAGGAGAGAATCGAGACCTGCTACGGCGACATTGCCGAGTTCGGCGGCAAGGGTCCTGAAACGCGCCGGATAAACGCAGAAGGCCGGCTCGGGCTTCATGAGGTACCGGAACTTGGATCTCGATTTTCAGAAATTTCCAGCTTTGACCTGTCGAGGCCCTGAACTGCTCGACCCGCCCCTCTCAGCCCTTCACTGCCCCGCGAATGAACGAAACAGGCAACAGCTACCTGAAGAGTCACTACCCGCGGCTGAGCTACATCCGGCGGGCACGACCTCTTGACTGGACTCCGCCAGGAGGTTGCTGAGTGAGTCCTGCTACCGCTATTCTTACAGCTTCGACTGATACTCACTTCCTCGCTACTACTACTGCTGCTACTGCTGCTACTACTACCACTACCACTACCAATACAGCGGCGACGACTACTACTACTGCTAACACTACTAACTACTAACACTAACATTACTAACAACAACGATAACAACAACAGCAGCAGCAACAACAACACAACTACAACAACTACTACTACTACTACTACTGCTGCTGCTGCTGCTGCTGCTGCTACTACTACTACTACTACTACTACTCCTGCCACTACTCCTGCCACTACTACTACTACTACTACTACTACTACTACTACTACTTCTACTACTGTGGCCACTGCTGCTCCTTCTCCCGACTGCTGCCGCTGCTGCCGCCACGGCTAGCGCTACGGCCACGGCCACGGC